TCTTCTAAAGATTCTAGCGATAGAGCTAATCTTTTCGCTTGTCTTTGAGAAGATACGCTTGAAAGGCTTACGTTTGCGAGGCATTATGAAGTAACAAAACCTATTTATAAAGAACGTTAAAATACCTAAATTAAATTAAATTTCCTTTTAAATATTTTTTTAAAAGCAAATCCAAAGTATCTAAAAGGAATAAATATTCCTTTTAAATATTTTTTTAAATCAATACAACAAAACCAATTCAAGACACAACACGAATTCGAAAACGATAGCCAAAAAAATCGGATCAACTTAAACCAAATGACAAAAAAAATCGCAGAAAACCGAAATTTTCGATTTCGGTTTTCACCAAACCGAACCGAAAACCGAAATCGAAAGCAGTAGTCAATATAAATATAACCAACGAAAAAAGAAGTAAGTGTATAGGTACCGTATACACTATCTATACTATTAATATTCCTTTGAAATATTGTTAAAAACCTAAAACAACGAAAACCAATTCACGATTCTAAATAAACAAAATCCAAAATCAAAGCCAGAGTCTAAATATTTATAAAGGAATACCAACCAAATCAACAAAACCAATCAAAGAAAATACACAAAACCGAAAATGAAAGCCAATATAAATCCATTCAACCTTAACCAAATCACAAAGCAAATAACAAACAACCGAAATCGTAAGCAGGTAATCGAATAACCTACGAAATAGAAACAATTTAAGCGTATAGGTACCGTATGCACTATAAGTTGACGCGCGGCTCAACGGCGGGAGTTAAGTACATGTCAGGAAACATTTCATTGCCGCGTTTTAAAAACCTAGTAACGACATCTAGCGGAATCAATTTAAACTATGTATACGTTAGTTTATAAGAACTCTCAAAAATATTTTTCTTACAATTTTGCAATTTTTCTTATTGTAATACCGATTCAGTCATAACCACAATAAGAACTGTATTCATTTCCGTTCAATAAATATTACTAAGGCTTATTAATAAGGCTTAATAAGAACTGTTTCTACCACAGTTAAGTAATAGTTAAAGGTGAAAGCGTGACAGGTGGTGATAGTATTTCTGATCCATAAATATAATCACGCCTGTAACCCTTGCGGGGTAGGCAGAGCATCAACGGATTACTTAATATCGTCTACGAGGTTATCGCCTATTCTGTGAATTACAATGCACCAAAACATTTGAAGAAAATCAGCTGGTGAATTTTATGTTTTTTATCGCTCTCTTTCCGGTCCTGCATGGAAAAATACAGATCCATACATTTTTATCTTAATTTTGGTAAAAAGACATAATAATCCAGATATTCTGACCTGTGTTCGTCCATCGTACCGTCGTCTGTCTTGTAGAATCACGGTGGTGCCACCTAGCTGATTTTAATTTTGCAACATATTCGATTTTCCCACGGGAATGTTATGGTTTTCCGCTGAACCTATGTCATCCTACAGCCACCGAACTATCACCATACAAACAATCATGCCATGCCGATGCTCTGTTACGACATGAAAGAAGGACAAACAAACAAACACACTTTCGCATTTATAATATTAGTATGGATATGGATATGGATGGTGACAAACGAGCACACTGTCGTCCTGATGGTAAGTGGATGCTGTGGCCCATAGATAATATATTATTTATTTTTTTTTTTCATTTATTTTTTTTTTTTTTTTTTTTATATATATATAATACATTTATCCTCGATTAAGAATCAAAACGCAGATGCGTGATCACCCCTGAGGACTAAGATGAAATGCCTTGTTTAAAGGTAATACGACAGAATTAATGTATTTGAAGTCAATTAAATATGCATTATTAAAGATAAATCAAAAACTAATGGTCAGATCTTGATTAAGTTTATATGGGACCACACGAGAAGCCGGCTTTATAGCTCGAGGAAGGGACAACCGATGTGGGAAAAGGTTCTCGAGTGGCAGCCTCGTACCGATAGGCGTAGTATAGGGCGACCTCACACTATATGGAGTGATAACCTGGTAAGATATGCAGGAAGTCGATGGATGCAGGTGGCTCAGGACCGTGCTTTGTGGCATTCCTTGGGGGAGGCCTATGTTCAACAGTGGACTTATGATAGGCTGTAATGATGATGATGATGTTAACACGAGAACCACCAGCTGTCAGATAAAAAAAGAATCAACAAAATCAGTTGATCCAGAGAAAAATAATGCGGTAACACATAAAAGAATACGGTCAAATTTAATACATCTGCCTTTTTGAAGTCGGTAAGAAATGAAATATATGCTGGCTGTGAAGCATTTTATCTCAGTTCTCACATCTAGACTTTTTAGTTGAAGTTCCTTGCAGGTTCATATATGTATTAGTATTTTTTTTATCTATATAATTTTCTCACCTTGTTGGGTTCTATAAATATATAATTAAAATGAAAAGATAAATATACATAAACATCAATAAAATCAAATAAATACAAAAACTACATAAATAAATAAGATCCAACTAGATGGGAGCCCTCGGCAGGGGAGACCAAACGGCCGAGGGTTAGGGGGAAAGGGAAAGAAACCGGCGGACGATGCGGGCGGTATCGAGGAGCACCGCCTTCTGCATTTGAGCCCGGAGCGGTTCGTCACGGAGTCCCAGTCGCCTCAGATGACCCGAGAGGCTGACGGGGATTAGCCCATTCGCAGAGACGAGTACAGGAATAATTTCGGCCGGCATACCATCCCACATGTCGGTCACCTCGTGAGCCAGGTCCAGATATTTTGTTTGCTTATCTGTTTTGGCTTTCACGAGGTTCTCGTCATACGGAATGGTAATTTCGACCAAAAATATCCTTGACTGTTCCCGGTCCATCAGCACAATATCAGGCTTATTCGCAAGAATAGTCCTGTCTGTGATGATGACCCAGTCCCAGTAAAGCCTGGCATGGTCATTTTCGAGCACGGCTTCCGGCAAGTACTTGTAATACGGCAATTTTCGGTCCACGAGACCGTATTTCAGAGCGAGCTGCAGGTGTAGAATTCTGGCTACTAGGTTGTGCCTGTGTAAGTATTCAGAGTTAGAAAGCGCCGAACGACCGGAGATGACATGCCTAAGTGACTCCCCGGGATGGCGACAAGCTCGACAGATGTCGACAGTGCCATTCTTTAGGATGTATCTCCGATAGTTGTTGGTCTTAATAACCTGATCCTGTAGTGCACAGACAAAACCCTCGGTTTCCCCGAAGAGGTCACCAAAACGTAGCCAGTTGAGGGAGGTGGCTATATCTACGTGAGGTTCATGTAGAGCCCTGTAGTACCTCCCGTGGAGTTCCTTCTCATTCCATACGGTCTCCCGGTCGGAAATGCTCTGTACTGCCGGGACTGTCATTGCTCGTTGGCTAAGGATAGAGGGGTAAGTCATTTATCACTAGAAATGACGTCATTATAGAATGGATCATCCGATCTCGCCAGGAAGTAATGACGGAGGCTGCACACTTCGCGATTATGCATGGTGAGCTCGCTCAGGAAGCCACGCCCACCATGCCTTCGCGGCAAGTACAGCCTCATTACCGACGATCTCGGATGATGCATCCCATGAGACGTCATCATAGTGCGGACTTTTCTATCCAGGAAGTTAAGTTCAGTCTGACTCCACCTGAGTATGCCAAAGGTATACATGAGGACAGACATGACCCAACCGTTATATGCATGTCTCTTATTCACACCGGACAAAAGGCTGTTAAGCACTTTGGTCGAGCGTGCATAAAACACGTCGCAAACTGACTGTTTCATACCAGCCTCATCGATACCGATGTTCTGTGACATAGCTAAGTATTTCTCGTCGGTCTGTTTCAGCCTCGGAAAGGGCCATTAAGTAGACGGGCATAGATAAGTCTATACCCTGTACACCTTCCCCTTTCAAGATGGAGGACCGCACACTTATCCGTCCCCAGCGCCATTATAATAGAATTGCTAAATTCACAAGTGATGTTTAGCAATTCCATAAGATGGCAGCGACTGCGAGGCGAATAATTTGAGGTCATCCATATAGAAAAGGTGGGTCACTTTTGTACCTCCTTTCCGAAGCTGAAATCCCCCTCCCGGAGCCCTCCAGTAAAGTACTGAGAGGGTTCAAAGAGAGGCAGAACCAGATTGGACTCAGACAGTAGCCCTGGAATATACCCCTTCTTATCCTGATGCGACTTTCCGTAGCCGTCACCCGCTCGCCTAGATGACAGAGGATCGTACTCCACTGCCCCGTACACTGCTCGAGGAAATCTTGAACTGTACAGTCAATCCTCTACAGCTTGAGGACCCTATTTAGCCATGTATGGGGCACCGAGTCAAATGCCTTTCTGTAATCTATCCAGGCGGCGGAGAAGTTCCGACGGTTGCGTTTCACCACTTTGCCAATGACCGCGTCAATGAGGAGTGGTTCCTTGGTTCCACGCCCGCCGCCCCAACATCCATTTCGAGCCGCGACATCACCTGATTTGAATCCAGGTGACGAGCGATTCTCGCGCTCAAAATGGATGTCAGTGTCTTATATATGGTCGATAGACACGTGATGGGGTGGTATTTGCTCGGGTCTGTGGCATCCTGATCTTTAGAAACCAAATAAGTGACCCCAGTAGTGAAGAGGCTTGGGAGTGACTTCTGGGTGAGAGCCTCTTGAAACTGTCGGGCGAGCACAGCCTGACACACCATGAACCCCTTCAGCCAGTACTGATGCAGCCCGTCAAGCCTCGGACTTGTTCAGTTCGGGGCCCTACGGACCGCCTCAACTACGTCATCCGGCGTTATGATGACGGGGTTCATGGGCGTAATACCCACACACTGACTCGCCACAACTTCCGTCCAAGGGCCCTCCTTGTGGTTTACGGGCTCTCACCACAGGCTGCGCCAGAATGCGACCGTGTCGGTCTGATTTGGTGCTGAGCCCGTTCCACTTACTATTGGTCGCTCCAATGATTTATAGAGCCTCTTTTGATCACTCTGGAAGAGACGATTCTGGTTGAACCGTGTCGACCTCTCGGTATCGGACCTTTAGGTCGTCTATGCGCTTCGTCAGTTTTTGCATTATATCCGGCTGGGACAAATTAGCACTTGTCGCAGCAAACGCCATCCTGACGCTGCGCACAATCCTTGGCCTGGTACTGCCTGACCTGAAGCATATCAGTCTGCCGATGAAGGCCTTAGCCTTTGCGATACGTTCTTCAATTCTTATTCCGTGCCGTGCCGTAGAAAGTTTGGCGCCTATAATATGGCAGACTGTCAGTGCGGCGCCAAAAAGAATTGAGTTAGTCTCGCAAAGGTCCCGGCTGGCTTCCAAATAGGTAACCAGCATTGGGTTCAGAGCCCTCGCGACAGCCCGATTCCGCTTGCTTAGGGCTAAGCGGGGAAGTCGCGGTCGATTTTCGAGAGGCGTACTGCGCGTTTCCACAATCGCCTCTTCCAATGTACTCCTCATTTGCTCTAGTTCCAGTTCCAGGGCGACTGTTCCATTATCGTTTGAGTCAACCACATCTGGCGTATTCACAGCGGCATCCAGATTTGCCGTTTGCTCAGCAAGTTGTGGCGCCGCATCCTCAGCCTCAGCATTTTCACCCTATGAAGGAACAGCCTCACGTCGTAGCCGTTCGAGTTCGGTGACATCAAATGTATTTGAGCTCAAGATATACCGAACTTGGTCTGCCAGGTTTTGCTCGGTGACGGTTACAGATGGCTCCAGCTCAGCAAAAAGTCGATGCATCCTTGCCCGATACGCAAAACCTCCAGTTTTCCCCCTTTCGCCCTAAAATACGCCCGCTATGCGTTGCTGTTCATCTGGGCTGTCCAACGCAAGCGGTGTACTCCACCAGTGGTGGGTGCCGATTGCTGGGCCCGCGAAAACCCTGCCGACACCAAGCCAGCTGGTGGGGATGATGGATGCGAGGGGCTCCTGGGTGGTCGTGCAGCACCTCGCGCTCGGCTGGCGGTTCGCATGCTGTCGCGTCCAGCGCCAGCTCCAGACGCGCTCTGCCGACCTCCAGGCAGCGGCCCTTTGCGCGTTCTATTTAATTCCATCATCCATTTTTGAGGGCGTCATTTAGCGGGAGATGCTCAGACCCGGCGCCATTTCATGGTAAGGCCATGTGCACAAGCGGGCCTTTGCACCTTCAATTTTTGCCGAGGCACGGCACTAACACCTCTTGGCAAGGTGCTGACTGATCGCGCTGACGTAGCGGTTTTGTCACATAACCGTTACGTCAGCGGGTGATGGGGTCGTCACTTCCCTACGACAATTAGTATTATTATTATTATTTTCTCAGCTAAAATGTGGTAAATAAATGGGGTTACCGGTTGAAACCAAGTAACCGTCATTATAATAGGGGATAAGCGACATTACTGTCATCCTGCATGAATTTTCGTAGGATGCGACATGTATTTAAGATTGCTGCATTTTCAAACTATAGTGTAAGTGCTTCGGAATTATTCCGGTGGTAGAAAGTACTACGATTATTATAAAAACTTTTTTCATCTTCCACATTTTTGTTATTTCTTCTTTCAGTTCTGTATATTTATTTAATATATTTTATTATTATTATTAAAAATCATATTTATTTTCTCTTTTATCTTTCTAAACTATTCGTAAATTTAAATGTTTTGCGTCATATTTATTTTAATGTCTTTATAAATTTATAGCGCAATTTTGGATTTGTCATTAAGTATAATGTAGTGTCCTCTTCCTTTGACCTATAAAGTTGTATATTTGTTGTGTCATCACAGAGTATCATTTTAGTAACATCTTACACTGTGGTTGTATGGTAGGCTGTAATGGACGGACGGATAGATGACTGTCTCGTTGGCTTAGTGATCATAAGTTTTTTTTTAATATAAAATAAGGGTGACAAACGAGCACACGGTCCACCTGAAATTATGTGGATGCAGTGGCTCATACACATCTACATTTATCCTCGACCAAGTATCAAAACGTAGATGCGTTATCACCATTGAGGATCAAGATGTAATGCATCTTTTCCAATAACAAAGGATCTCCGGATCTCCACACTCAATATAGGAAACACTATTCTATGAGAGCGTGATACTTCCCTGGTCGTGCTACAACCATAATATATCTGCAGTATGGCTCTACTACGAAATTACGTCCTCATTGGTACAAAATTTAAATTTTCTCTTTGAAAAAAAAAAAAATTGTTGTTTTAATAAACGATGTTTGATTCACATTAGTACAATGGAAGTTATTTTTTAATTTTTTTTTTTGAAAAAGGTGACAAACGAGCACATAATCCACTAGATGGTAATCATCTATCTTAATATTAACATCTATCTTCGATTAAGAATCAAAATGCAGATGTGCTGTCACCCCTGAGGACTAAGATGGGTTGCCAGTAAAACGGGTCTCCGGTTCTCTACAGTCATCATATAAAACATAGCAGCATTGTTTACACGCTGGTATTCTGTGGGAGCGTGGTCTTTACCCGGTCGAGCCGACTTATCCGGGCTGTAACCAAAATATTGCTGCAGCATGGCTTTACCACGTATGAAATCATATCGTCTAATATATAAAAAATGAAATTTGTTTAATGATTCCTTAAATTTACGCGAACACTACACATTGAATAAAACTATTATTTACGGATTTTATCGCGATTAATTACTTTAATTTATTTTTATTATTATCCCGACGTTTCGGGTGCTTTACAGCACCCATGGTCACAGGGGGGGGACTGAGATGTTTGACGTCCCAATGTCATAGTTAGTCCGGCTACCTTCAGTTTTTTTAATCGGACCAAAAATTAATATTAAAAAACCTGAAGATAGCCGGACTAACTATGACATTGGGACGTCAAACATCTCAGTCCCCCCCGTGACCATGGGTGCTGTAAAGCACCCGAAACGTCGGGATAATAATAAAAATAAATTAAAGTAATTAAACGCGATAAAATCCGTAAATAATAGTTTTATTCAATGAAATTTGTTTGTACGTATTGTATGCGCTCCCATAGCGTCCATCAGATTGCGGTAAAACTTTGTCAACACATTGCTTGCACTTTGCGAAGGTTATAGGCATAGCTGTACCTGGTAGGTGGCGCTCTTGTAGAATCCAGATATCGCACATGCGAAGCCGGGGCATATATACTAATAAAATTAAACTTTCGTATAGATGAAAATAGATGCACAAATATTTAAGGTTTCATCACCATCAATAAACCGTTTAACTCCACTGCTGCCGTAGTCACCATGGTTGGCACACTTGGATCGCAAAACTAGACATCTTGCACTTGTACGTCTGGCGTTAACTAAATTTAATATACGTCCATCAAGATGCCATGAAATTCATTTGGCATTTTCCAAAGTCGGCTCTAACAACACCCACGGAAAGAAATTGGGTAATGGTACGCAGCTACCAAACGGCAGGTAAGAATACACTTTAATATAAAAATCCCATCCATTAAGAATGTTATCTTTGGAATAACTTTTAATCGAATCTTTTAACTCTATTGTAGTTTGAACAAACATTTACACTTAAGGGGGATGCTGCCGCGGGGTGGTCTCCTTTATAGCTCGAAGTTTGGCTAAGATCGCAGCTTAAACTTAGTCTGTCTATAGGTTATTGCTATCATTGTTATAGTTATATTTATAACAGAAATGCACTAGAGTATAATAATTGTTTAAGTTACAGCAAGATTTAATGAAGAAAGCATTCTGCTTTCTTGAAATGTTATTCATTATTCGAGTAAGTTTATTCATTTTAATTAATGTCCACGTTATTTTTTTAATAATGGGCATAAGTCTGGTTTACGATAAAATTATATATAATATATCATAATTAATTAACTCAAAATTTTGTAAATGTTGTTGAGCTACGCTGCAGCTATATTACGGTTGTAGCACGTCTGTTCGACCTGGATAGGACCATGCTCTCACAGAATACCAGCGTAAAATAGCATTTTAATTCTGCTGTATTTCATATGTTGAGTTTAGAGAAACGAAGACCTTTTTTATTGAAAACGAAACATTATATCTTAGTCCTCTGGGACAACAACTCATCTACATTTCGAGAATAAATGTAGATGTCTTTGGACTACAAAATTCACTTACCATCGTCTTTTTCTCTTTTTCTATGAAGATGAGATATATGAAGCTGTAAGAGTCGCATACACTTACAGCACCAAAATCATCAAAACCAGATCCCCATATATTTTTCACAAACAGACAAAAAATATTGTTTTTCATAAAGAATATAGGTGAGAAATTAAAATCAGATTGGTTGTCACCGTGAGGACTAAGATGGAATACCTCATTTCATATAAAAACTGTATCCGGTTTTCCACACTCCTATCATAGTACTGACTGATTTGCTAGTCTAGTGGTTATAAACGCGATCGCTGATCGCAAGAGGTTCGAATTCTGGGTTGGGCAGTCATAATCAGTTCTTGGGTTTTCCGCGTTAAGAATCTCCAAGGATGATAACGAATATGTCAGAAGTTGGTTATCAGCCAGAGCCAATGCATTATTTTGCCGGTAAAATACCTCTATACCTCATCATTTTGGCTGGTTCGATCAAAATCAACGATTCGGTAAGGGAATAAGTTATAACCTGTCACTGACAACAACAAAAAAAAAAAAAGAAACTGTATAAAAAGGAGAATGAAAAATGAAATACCAGAGCTTTAAATTGCAATTCGTGTTTACGACATCGCGTGACAAACCTTCCGTTGGAAACAATGATTGGAGGCCCGCCAAATAGATACGGCTCGTAAAACGCCACTCCAAAATAAATAGTCGAAAAACTCTAACCTGTTTACACGGGTAAAGTTAGGTGAACAAACACACTGGGTTGTTGATGAAGAAGAAAGTTAATATAGAGTTCCTTTATTTTTATTAGAAAAGGAGAAGGTTAATTATACGTTTTTTTAAAGAATAAGGGTGACAAACCATCACACAGACCACCTTGTGCTAAGTGGTTGCTGTAGCCCAAAGACATCTATATTTAAACTCAATTCAGAATCAAAATTAATGTACGTTGTTACCCCTAAGGCAGGAGTGAATCAATATAAGGGCTTTTTGGGCTGCTGCCCAGGGAAGTGCCCATTAAAGATAATAGCTGTCAAAGTTTCAAAAATAATTATTATGATATTATGAATTTATATAAATTATATATTGGGACCACATTATATTGACAAATTTTAGAGACTACATTTGTGAAGGCAACAATTTAATTATGTCATTAAAAGTGTTTCGAGTTCGTAAGCAACATACACCAGTCGGGTCAAAAATTAAATATATAAGCGGAGAACACTAAAAAATTTAATAGTAGAGTAGGAGCAGAATACAGTATTGTTTTTATCAGACGGAATACTTCAAAATTTTCAGATAAAGTCAAGAATCAAAAATTTAAAAGAGGCATGCTATATACGTTGCGTTGAATAAAAAGTTACAGCCTATATACGTCCCACTGCTGGGCACAGCCCCTCCCCCCTCATTTATGAGAAGGTTATAGGGCAAGGACGTGTCCGCCGCGCTGCCTCAATGCGTGTTGGCGAACTTCACTTGTCTTCGAAATATTTTTTTTATTATTCCTCAGACATGCAGGTTTCCTCACGATGTTTTCCTTCACCGCCGAGCACGTGGTAAATCAGCACTTAAAATTGCAATTAACAATTTTATTGGTGCCGGCGGGGATTGAACCCGGGTTACTCGCGTTCTGTTATATTTACAGCGAGCGTTAACCATCTGAGCTACCAC